TCTTGTTTCAGAGATCTTCAATTTTTATTGAAAACTACGGAACTTGCCCCAAAATCGGGCACCTGACTTACGAATAAAACGGACAGTTTTGGCCCTAGAAGGTTGATAATTTAGTTGTATAGGTAAAAGAACATGCAGAATTCGGCGGAAACATTTTCAAACCTCCTAGAGATCCTCTAGTGGATTTTCTAGAAACTGGATTTTCAGAAAACCTTTCTGGAAACAAAATTTTCCGTAGTTTTAATAAAAATTGAAGATCTCTGAAACAAGAAGGATTATCGAACGAAGCAAAACGCATTGTTGCCCGCGAGAATATTTTTTTGTCCGGTTCGTGACGGTTCGAACGGCATATGAATGAGCGTTTCATCTCTTAACACAGAAAATTAGATACGTTTACAAGCTGAACCTTTTTCACTTTTAGCGCTCTAACTTGGATTTCTAGTCTGCAATCCCACTTTAAAGTGAGAAATTCGAACTGTAGTTGCCTGAAATCAGATTTTAACGGTGAATTCGAAAAATACTATGTCGAGGTTTCAAACTGCTTCGAGACGGAGATATTGAGTTTTTTCGGAAAATTACCAATTTTTTCGACGAAAGAGACCTTCTCCGTATTTGAATTTTTCTTCCTGATAACGTGAACTGGGAAGGCTAAAAAGTATGGTTTTCTTGATCCTTAGCTTCCGCACTGTCCAGCCATGTATAAAGATATCGAAAACAAAATAGTGCTGTAACTTCGAATTTGAAGAGCCTTACCATTCATATCTGACATGTAGAAAAGCTACAGCTTTTTTATTAGTGAATGAATCTAAGTGAAAGTTTTATATATTATTCATCTAAACTATGCTCACCACCACCGAAAACATTAGCTAAAAGTTGGTAGTACTCTATATGAAGAGTCATGATCTAGCGGCCACCTAGCGCCAGTAAAATGGAGTTTTTATTGGAACGAAACATCATCTCATCTTGCTCTTTGTGAGTAAGTTGTACTAGACATACAGAGCTCTTAAAGTAAATGAATGAATTCCCAATTCATCCACAGTTTCTAGATGAATTCACACTAACAATAGCGTCGCAGACTAAACAGTGTTTGTTTGATGAAACCAACTCGTCCATAAATTTATGGATGGCTTGGTTTGACCTATTTTTTCGCCCGTGCGGATCAGCGCGATGTGGTTTAAGCCATAACTGATTTATACCCGATCGAAAATATGGAAAAGATAGTTGGCAGTTTGAGTAATATTTTGATTAAAAAAAGGGATTAGTTTAATTTTGTCTTTCGTTAGACACGAGTAAAACATTTTTAAAAATCGTTACTTTCACACTAAATGTCCCTCGAGGTTTTGAAAGATATATTTTTGACGTCTCCCAAACTTTCCAATCCTTGGTTTTATCCTTTCACGATTTTTTCACATTATGATAGTAAATATTCTCCTAAAGTTTCAATTTTAGAGCTTTTGTCGTTTTTGAGAAAAGTGCATTTTACTGCGAAAATGTTCCACAGGTTAAAAACGACAAAATCTCTATTCGCTTAAACTAGACTTATTATATACCATTCGATTTGCCTTTTGTCGTGAAAGATGGCTATGCCTTTCATAAGACTTCGGGATATATCAATCGTTACTTCGAGATTAGAAAACGCTGAATAAAGCAGTATTTCATATTTTGGCTGCAATCAGGCCTAAATTTGTGTGAATGAGTTAAGACACATACTGTCAGATAGAGCTCATCGAGATCTATGGAACAGTTTAGAATAGTTATTTTGGGAAGGCCGTTTGTTGATTTATATCGAAATAAGCTCGAGTATTTTGTGGCTTTACTATTAAAATCGCGTTTTCTGAGAAAAACTAAAGTGACAGTTCGGAAAACTAATTTTTATCTACATTAAACCTACTGAAATTAACTCGAATGCATGGAAATTATTTGAAAGAAAGTTCATTTTTTCAAATATTTTTGGATTAATGGCACAATAGCAGTGTAACTCACTCAGGTATTTAACGGACATAAAATCTTGTTTTTTTTAGCAATTATCAGCTAAGAAGCAGCAAACCGTATTATTCGATTAATCCTCTTCAGATATATTGGCAAACAATAAAATCGACACAAAAGTCACAAAAGGTTCGTTTTCACTGATAACAGAATACGTCCTGTGACCTCGAAAATGTGCAATACGAAACGTTATATATACAGCAAATATATATACTGCTACATGATTTTTTCTTTCTTCATTCGAAGAACTTGACAAACAAAAACCTCGATAACATTAACCCGTGCCATGAATAACAATTTGTTTTTTACCTGTAGAATGTGCGCTGTCATTCTGAATTAATTTATTTGTCATTTGCCTGAAGCTTCATAAAAGGTAGAAGAATGCAGATCAAAAAGCAACAGGATAAAATTCTTATTCTTACCGATATCGCATATATATAAATATTCATAAACACGGCTTACACAGAAACAAATATGGAATCTCTTGCTGCTACGCTGGTGAGCGTACCACCATCGACCGACATCTTTCAAAAAGTCACAGATCTAATCAATCAACAAACTTCTCAATCTTTATCTTCGTTTGTCTCTGAATCGTTTCAATCATTGCTCCTCATCGAACATTGGGTCTGGCAAATTCTCAGCAGAGATTTTCGTCAATGGATCAACGAACAACACTATTCAGAATTGTTTGATACCCTAGCATCATTCAACATGAAAATCGCCATCAATCAAAATGAGATCGAATGTGAGCTGAAAGCGTCTCTTCTCATTCCTTTATCAGTCGATCAGATCGACGATGTACTCGATCAGATTGATAAAAGTGATGATAGATTTCTGGCTGTTGTCAGTCGTTGGTTTGATGTTCTCTCACATTTGATACAGGAACACATACAGCTGGCATCGTCTCCGATTATCATCCATCTCAATAGTCGAATCACTCGTGACTTTCTTCTGACCGAACAATACAAATTCTATCTGAAACAAGTCCGAGAAATAAATCATTCCAATTCAATATTCAATGTCAAATTCTTCTTCTATATCAAAACATGTTCGCTTTCGTTGCATGTTTATCTAAGTGCAAAAGCGGTAGATTCTATTGAGATCAGTGAAGAGATTATTGAATTTATCAGTGATGATTATGTACAAATGATCGATATTTATAGTTATACTGTGGATTCATGGAGTCAAGAATTACTCTGCTGTATTACACATCTTATTGGTCTGATTTGTTCATGTTATTGTTGGGGTAGTGGAATAAAGCGCAATATAAAGAAGCTTGTTCTTGGCGAAGAAACATTGTGTATTCATGTACTAGATCTTATTCGTATTGTCAGCCATCAGCCTTTCTATGAACGTATTACTTCAAAATGGATCAATAATGAAACAATTCTCATAGATTACATTTTATCATCTATCATGGGCTTATTGCAAACAGAAAATTTGAGCTCCTTTATTCGTTCAGAAACAACTTTTCCAATGACACTTTTGACATTGGCTCATTCAGCGAAGTTCGATCGAATACATATTTGTGCCTATGGTTTACTAGCAGAACTTCTCTCAGACGAACAATTGAAAGAGCTCAAAATTACTGAGAATCTGAGTGACTTTTTCTTTACCATTCTTGAAAATGCATGGAAAAATCCATCGCAACGATACAGACGAATACCAATTGCTTTGTTACTTCGAGGTATGTCCATTCCAATACTTAACCATGCGAAAGACATCGACATTAGACTAGATCTATAATTTGAGCGAATATCAAGAAGAAAATTTAGCAGTGCACTTGACTACGATTACTGACAGAAAAAGCGTCCTATACTGAAATATTGAAATATAAGAATGATGATATAAAGAGATAGATAGACAGATCACTAGCAGGCAATCACTCAATTATTTCCTGCTGTGAGAACTTGTAAGCAACAAAACTTGTGTATAGGATACGTTCTTCGATATTTTCTAGGCTTTCTGAATCTAACAAAGAATGATATCGTTCAAACTTCAACGGCTAACTCGAATAAGACGTCGCTTCTGATTGAAATGTCCGACAACTATCCTATTGTATTCGATATTCTCTGGTCTCTTTCATTTCATTCATCAATCCGAGAGCAACTGCGATCAAATCAACCATTTATGGCTAAATTAGCTCATATCGAAAAAGAGTCTAACGATGAAAAAATGCGTCAAATTGTTCTTGGAATCCTCTGGAATGTGAACTGGCATCAAGACGATACTATTTCATTGGACAAAAGCCATAGTACAACATTCGATATTATGATCAGTTATTCACACAAAGATAAACAAATCTGTAAGCAACTGTATGATGAACTCATTCGTAGTGGTTATCGTGTCTGGATTGATTTTGATCAGATGCACGGCAATGTTATGGATGCCATGGCACAAGCCATCGAACAATCTCGAATGGTTATCATTTGTATGAGTGAACAGTACCGACGAAGTAATTATTGTCGAGCGGAAGCACAGTACGCATTTCAACGGCAACTGAGAATGGTGCCAGTTCTCTTACAGAAACACTATAAACCAGATGGGTGGCTTTCGTTTCTGATCGGTCAGTTGCTCTACATTGATTTTACGAAACATGAATTTCCTCGAGCGATGGAAATGCTGATAAAAGAACTGAGAGCGTCACAGATATTGGATACGCAGAAAACGCCAATCACTTTCATAACTTCTTCTTCTATTGTCTCATCAACAAAAGAGTATATCTTTCCAGAAAACGTTCGAGATTGGACACAGGCACACGTGCGTGAGTGGCTACGAGAGAATAGTCTTTCACAAATGACGAATCTTCTGTCTGATATTGATGGACCGTGTTTAATTCGTTTAAGGGAATATGTAACAAAGTGTGAACCACAGCTCATTTTGGCTTTACTTCAACATGATTCATTTCGACGTACCAATCAGAGTTTATCACTGATTGAATGGTCCCACTTTCATAGTTTGCTTGAACAGGAAAGATTCCAATCCTCGACAAATGTCGAATCGACGAAAGAGCGAAAAGTTTCTCGTACAAAAAAATGGACTTTTCGCTATTGTCGATTGATGTAACCTTCTAAGTTATATCGACATAGAGCTGTCATAGGCGCGTTCTTTCACAGTACGGTTCTACTAGTTGTTAACCATAGATAGTAACAAATTCCAGGTTGTTTCTCTTGGTTTTCCACGACACTCTTCTCATGCGTATTTAATCGAGCTATTTATCTATTCCGGTTCTACTTAGCTATTTACTCATAAATCCTTTCGTCTTTCATACGATCTAACAATTATATCGCTGGGACGATCTAGGTGCTTTCCAATAAATAAATCTTCTTGAAAACATTGATCTTTATGACCGATCATGACACCTATCAGGCGCAGACTATGCTTGCGGGCATGTGGTTGTATAACACGGAGTCGTGAGCACCGAAGAAACAAAAGAGGAAAGAAGAACGGAAAAAGGTAAGAACCGATTCTTGTGTGTTAAACCTATTGTGTACTGAGGCTGTAGGTACATGGATGCGTATGCACGTGCAATAACCAAGGAGGAAACAACATACACTGACACTTCGGAAGTCTAATCGAAAGTGGTCGGATGCTTGGAAAAAAACTCGCCTTAGCTGATCTGATTCTTCTCATCATAATCGGTTTCATAAATCGTGAACTGCAGATCAGTCGTCCATCTAATATATTATCCGAGCATTCAGAAAGAGAACACAGCTTCAGATCTTTAAACGAAAACGTCATGCTGAGCTGCTTCTTTGACGCCTAAAGCTCTGCTATACGTCGGGGCGAAGTGACCCGGTTCGAATTGCCTTCCGGAGTTTTCAAGTAAGTCGGAGATTTGGTAGCCGTGACTTAGTGATCGGTGGTCTAAGGGTACGGATTTTTTTATTCTTGTTCGAGACATTTGTAACGTAAGCCCAAAATTGTTCATGTTTGTTTAATACAAACGTATTTATATGATGTTTCAATACACACAAAAACAGAAAGAGAGCTTACTGTGTTGGGTGTGGAACTTTGCGTTATTCTTGCACTTGTGTTTACATTCATTCGTGATTATTAAGTCGAACTTGTTGGGCATTTCGGTATTATAAAGATGTGACGCATCCAAAACGTTTGCTAATCTCAAAATTAAGTTTTGAAACTTTTCTAAACGATACTGTATACTCTGCCTTGTACGTCGGCTTCAAACAGTCAGTCAAAATTGTTTTTAAGTAGTTCCATTCCATCAGAGTCAACAGATAGTCTTCTTTCATTGCATGATGTAGTAGCGTCCGGAAACGAAAGAGCCGTTAAATAACTATAAAATACATCCAAATCAATATTACAGACTGGTCGTAACATATTGATTTTCGATGTGTGGAATGAAACGTAAAACGCTTTCGAAGTGTGGTACTGTATCACACTCAGAAAGATGAGAGTTTCACACTACACTGTAATCTGGAATTAACTTCCACTTTATAGAAAATCGTTCGAATAATCGCGGAGATTTTCTAATTTATAGAATTTCTCGAAGAATTTCCAGTTTTCTAGGAAATGTTGATTTTCTACTTTATAGAAAATCGACTTGATCTTCCATAAATTCGATTTTCTGTAAAGGTGGAGAATTGCCGAGAATTTTCTATAAACTGGAAAATCGCCGACGATTTTCTAGTTTATAGAAAATCAATCGAGTTTCTATAAATAATTTCCAAGAATCTGCAAATTCGATTTTGATTTTCTATAAACTAGAAAATCCTCGGCGATTTTCTAGAAAGTGGAAATTCGTCCAGGAATTTCTAGATCAAATACTTATTTATCTTTTTGTTTTGAAATCAGTATAGGTATAAGAGCGTCACGTAATGACACTCATATTACACTTAAATCAACTTTGACAGTTTCTACTTTAGATCACAATTCTGCCTATGCCAACAAGAGTTTTGATTTAGGCAGAGACAGTGGTGGCGCGAAGTTTTGTTAGGAAGTTATGATTCTTCTTTCTCTCTTGATATACTTGATTCTGAACTCGAATAATGAAATTTGATATTTTAAGTAGAAGTAACCTTGAAAGCGGATCGAATAAATATTACAACACTCATTGATATAGTTCGAAGAGAGAAAGAGAAAACAAATAGAAAATTGAATGATGACAAAAATGTTTTATTATTTGAAAGAGACTTATTTATTAATATAAGTTTTCAAGTTAATAAATATCTCTTAACAAATCAAGCTCTGTAGCTGAATTATCATCTACTGATAAATTGTTGTCGATTGGAGTATTAACATTGTTACCCTCATCCAAACGTGTCCTTCTCGATTGAGTTATTACTTGCTTCACCTGCAGTTCTCTTTTCCTTGGTTTAGAAAACATGTTATTACGTAATGTAAAACAATGCGAGAATGATTACAAGTATTTATTTTGATTTATATTGTTGCAAGAATGAACTGAAACTGAGGAAAGTGATGTAGATTATTACAAACTTAACAACTATCTGCTATATAAATAAATGCACGTAGCTGATCAGGCATGAACTTGATTTAATCGCCACTAAATCACAATTGTCCATATCGCAATCCATTATCCGGTCAACATTAGGCACACAACTCCATTAACTTGTAAGATCGAGCTGTTCGTCCAAGGAGCGTACGACTATCATGAAGATATTCGCGCATCCGAACACACATTTGAACAACTGTTTTGGCTCGAACCAAATTTATCGCTTCTGTTTCACTGGAATGAAAAACTCATTTGCACCTATACGTCACCATTACCAAAACACAGTTATATCCCACTTACAAAGGCCGTAACAACGGCAAAGACTGGACGGCTAGAAAATCCATCAATAAAACCAGTTTTTACTCTTAACCTATTGAAGCAGTTGAAAAGCTAGATACATAAATGTTTGAAATTCTGAAAGTCGGAGTTTTCAATATCCATTCTGTACGGTTTTCATTGCACACCTCTGGACTCCATGGTTTTAGTTTTACGAGTTATACTTCTTCCACAAAATACGATTTGACTCTGCGCGTCTTTTTCATCGAAAGGGGAAAGAGTAAAAATACAAGTGTTTGTCAATAAATTTTTCTTGCTCACGAATTAACTTATTTCTTTCCACAATCTCAACACCTTACTCAAGTACCTATTTTCTTTCTGGATGTTTTACTATCTTACCCAAGCAAAAAAATGCCTTTGAGAATATCTAGATATAAAAATATGTTATGGGGCAATATCGGCTTGTGATAGCCAGCTATCCGTACCACTTTTATTGAGTTAGCTAGCTATATCGGATATGATAACTAGCGACTAGATATCGTATCCGATATATCGGGTTGACGAAAAACACTGATCAGAGTAGTTATTTAGTCGATATATTGATCGATTATTGCCCGGTATATTGTGGACAGTGTCTGATGCCACTGCGTCACTAGCTATGAAAGTAGATATATTGACCAATGATTACCCGGTATATTATATTAATAGTGCCCGATCGAATTGTGCACTCTAGATATTAAACTAGGTATATTGACCAATTATTGCCCGATATATTGTATGGATAGTGCCCAATCCAATTAGGCACT